ATGGAGCCTCAGTAACCAAGAAAACATGGAAGTGAACTCGTGGCTTACATTGCCGAATTAAGGGTATGAAACCAAGTGCCAATGAAGACCTAATGTATAGAGATGTTCTTGTACGTCTGTCTTGGCTCAATAACATTTAGTTGACATCGTGTAGAAATATGAAAAATGTAGTGCCAACTCAGGTTTCCTCTTCTTCAGTTGACGGTGACTCAAACTTACGAGGACCATCGCCAACATACTTCGTGCTTCTTCCAAGTATAATGGAAATTAATATCAAATATGTCCCACTATGCTGTATTACAAGTCAAAATGTACTTAAGTATATGAAGTAGATATATTTTTTGACATTTAGTGTTTTTTGACTATTAGAAACAAAATTGATTTATTTCGGTACGAGGATACAATAAAGTAGATTTTATCATCTTAAAATTAATATATAGTAGAGTCGAAAAAAACGTTGTAAAACACTGTAAAAATAATCATAACAGTTGGGGCCGTGTACCATGACTAGTGTAATGAAATTTTGCATGAGTTCTACCTGGTTAAAAAAGGAGGATTTAATTTTTTTTTGAGAGTGACTCTTGGTAATTTTTTATTTCTTTATTTTTTAAGGAATCCAGTTAATGAAGGCTAGAACCCTTTTAAACAACTGCTTTGAACTCTTCTTTTCTTTTCCTTTTCTTTCCTTATTCTTAGAGACGACAAAATACCTGGCAGGTGTTTATTCAGTAAAGTACAGAGTACTTGTTTTACAGCAAAACCATATTTTTTAGCCCAACACATGCATTTTTTTTCAAAATCGTGCAACACAGAAATTTTTTAAACATCCGCAATAGTTTTTTTTTTCTAATTCTCTCTATTTATATACAGACATATATATATATATATATATTTATAACTCTCTTTTCAAATTACATAAAGTTGGGGAAAGTTTAGGGCCAAGCGTTAAGCTGAACGCAAATCGAGCTTATTGTTTTCTGAAAAATTCAATCTGGGTCACTAATTTACTTTAGACTTTTAGAAGTCATTCATATAAAATGTATATTCAAAGGAATTCCCAAGATTTTTATAAGATAAGTATTCTCTTTTATAGTTGCTTTTGGTTAAAGAAGTATGGTTACAGTAATTGTTCTGTTTTATTATTTGTAGCTTTATTTGATAAAATGTTATAAACGTATAGAAAAAGGAAGACATTAGTACAATTTATGAGCCTGTGTCTCAAAGTCCTCACGGGAGAAAGCGCGGACATATGAAAGTCCTCACGTAGTAAGCTAGAAGAATAAAGCACGAGCTCAATAGTCTTTATAGTTTTGCAACCGTTAGTTCAAAAACAATAATTAATTAATTTTTTTTAAATGAAACAATCTAGACAGTTTTATTTGACTTCTACACATAATTTTTATTCTAAATTCACTCAGAAAAAGTACATTGCTGCACAGTAATTAATAATACAACTATAAAATAAAACATTGATTAATTGAGAGCGTGATTAAAAGGCGTTTATTATGCATTTTAGTTTTTATTCTTTAACTCTTTCAAGTATTATCAAGAAGTGAATAATGATTGAAAAAGTCCATTATAGTAAAGTAAATTACAATGCAAATTGTTGGAGTTTTGAACATGTATTGAGATATGATTTCTAAGTTATAAAATAAATAACAATATTTTTTTTTACGTTTTTTTCTATGTTTTTTTAAATGTAAGTCAAATGAAATAAAAAAAATTACAGAAATGAAAAGCTTTGAGAAATGTTTGCTGAAGGACATATTACGAAAGGCAAGTAGCTAGAGTTAATGCAATTATTTTCTATAATATTGTTTTGTTATGCAATTTAATTATGTGTATACATTATTTTTTTCTGAAACTCATAAAGAATAAATTTTTTAATGTTTTTTTACTGGATGAAATTAATTATACTAATTAATTACTTTACTACATTGGCAGCTGGAAGGAACACGATTATTAAGAACTTTTTAATTAAATGACTATGTTTTATATCTTTCAGATTTTATTTGAGGGCATATGCTCAAATAATAAGGGGGTCATAACAATTCTTTGATAAAATATTTTCTTAGATGAACAATGTTAGCATATTTGTAAAGCAGAACACGTGGTATTTTCTTGTATAGACATATATTTTTTTAGATCGGTTTTGAGTTGAGCATATAAGACTAAATCAGGTTGCGCTTCGTATATTTTTTAATAAGAAAGAAATATTCCGAAACTGTTAAGAAAAAATATATCTTATTATTACAACTCTATATTATGATACATAATTAATAATAAAAATCATTTAAAAGGTATTATTTCTTATCTATAAAATAGTCAGTCATATATTCGATTCGATTTATACAATTATAAGTATTAGAGGGGGAAAAGCTATGTCTTGAGATCAATACTAATAAAACATTAAGACTTCATGGAGATCGATCCATTATAGAATGCTTATGAATATTTGATTCCATTTATGTGATCTATAAAAATAATATATATATATATATTCACAATTTACGTCACTTAACTGAAATAGGGATATAGTCTTTTCAATTTGTGAATGATATAAAATGAAGTTAAGAACTGTACAGGATAAATTTCAATTACCTATATTTAATTAATAATAATGAATGCAATAATGATTAAATTATAAATTTCTAGCTAAATTACTGAAGTTATTGATTATTAACATTGCCCTATGAAGCAACTCTAAGACTGCTCCTGGAAGACCAAAAGGAGCCGAGATCACTCTAAGGAATTTAGGGCAACGTACCAATACCCCAAGATGTAAGTACCTCACACTTAGGGTTTATATTGAGCAGTTTTTTTTTAAGAGAAATCAAGTTTTATAAATATCCTGTATCAACAAGAAGACCTTAGTTCAAAATAAAAGGACATTCATTCAATTCCCAATATTATATATGTAGTTCACACTCTCCCTATATATATATATATATATATATATATATATATATATATATATATATATATACACTAGCCGTTACCCACCCGCTTCATTGGGTATTTCACGTTGTTGTATATATGTATACTGTTTACATATATATTAATTATTGATATCTAGCATTAAGAATTCGATTGTATTGAAAAATATATTTATAGCTGTTACACTCTCGCCCCTTGATATAAAAAGAACATAAATTACAATATCTAATTTCTATTTATATCTAAAAGAGAAGTAGAATTTTTTTTTCTTTCACTTAACCTAATAATCGAGTGGATTTCCACCAAGGCAACTTTCAGTGGATCTCTATTCCATAAAATAAACATGCGTGCTAAATTTCAAGTCTAAATCTAACAGAGCAAAAACGGAATTTTTATCATCAATACCTCGTTCACAGCATTCTTAACGGATTCCAATTCAACAAAAGAAGCATGCAAACCAAATTTTATTATTGTAGTCTTAGCAGTTCAAAAACGGGAATTTTGTCTATCAATAAGCCTCAATAACATTACCCGCTTCCCCCTGGAGTTGATTTCCGTAAAATCCTTTCTTAGTGGAACTTTATTCAACTAAAGAAAAGTGCTCAACAAATTTCAAGTAAATGTGTTAAATTCAAAAAGAGGAATTTTTCTATAACACGCCTCAATCCCTCGCAACCCCACTCCTTTGGGGGTCCGTTTTCGCAAAAATCTTTGTAAAAGGAACTTTATTCCATGAACGGAACATACCTTCTAATTTTCAAGCAGGTGGTTCTATTAGTTGAAAAGGAGAAATATTTATTTTTTACGTCCCTTAATCCCCCTCAGTGACCCTTCGGGATCAATTTTCCTAAACAATTTTGTAGCGGATATATACACCATGAAAAGAATTCGCTTACCAAATTTTAAGACTGTACATCTAATAGTTTAAAAATTAAAATAATTATCTGAAACGCCCCTTAAGCCCCCGCAACACCACTTAGGAAACGATTTTCACAAAGCCCATTCTATAACAGATCTCTACTCAGTGAATGGAATATGCTTACTCAATTTCAAGATTTTACGTCTAATATTTTAAAAAAGGAGTTAATTGCCTATAACGCCGCTTAATTCTGCACAACGCCTCTTGGGGTCGATTTTAACAAAACCCATTTTGCAGCGAATCTGTACTCTATGAAAGGAATCCGCTTACCAAATTTCAAGACTGTACGTCTAATAGTTTAAAAACGGAAATAACTATCTATAACGCCACTTAATCCCCCGCAACGCCACTTAGGAAACAATTTTCACAAAACTCATCTTATAGCAGATCTCTACTCAATGAAGGGAGTCAGCTCACTAAATTTCCAGATTTTACGTCTACTAGTTTAAAAAAGGAGTTAATTGCCTTTAACGCCACTTAATTCTCTACAACGCCACTTAGAAGTCGATTTTGACGAAACCCATTTTGCACCGGATCTGTATTCTATGAAAGGAATCCCCTTACCAAATTTCAAGACTGTACGTCTAATAGTTTTAAAATGGAAATAATTATGTATATCGCCCCTTAAGCGCCCTCAACACCCCTTGGAGGTCAAATTTTGTAAAAATCATTATGTAGGGAATCTCTACTTTATGAAAGAAATCTGTGTACCATGTTTCACGACTGTACATTTAACAGTTTAGTAATGGAAATAATTATCTATAACGCCCCTTAAACTCCCGTAACGCCCCTTGGGGTTCGAACTTTGCAAAATCCGTTCTTAGCTGACGTCTACTCCATAAAGGGAACCTACCTACCAAATTTGAAGTCTGTAGGTTTAATAGTTCCGGAGATATCGTGATTAGTCAGTGAGTCAGTCAGTCAGTGAGTGAGTGAGTCGCTTTTCTCCTTTATATATATAGATACATATATATATTAATCTACTCGAATTCAAATACAATTTTTGTAAATATGTAGTCGATAACACTTGATGTTAAAACAGTTTTTCTCAATTATTAATTCATCATTTCTATTTAATTAATGAATAAACAGCAACAAAAATAATAGTCCGACACCATGTATAAAAAGGAAAACCGCTCGCTGTGCCTCTGTAGCGCAGTGGATAGTGCGTTGGACTTCAAATCCAAATGCTGAGGGTTCGAATTCCTCCTGGGTTTTCATAATTTCTGAGAATGCAATTCCTTTTTAATGTGCTATTTTATTGGAATAATTAAATTTAATTAATGATCTAATAGTAACAAGCAAAAATAATACTCCAACACCCTATATAAAAAGCAAAATGAAAAATTGTAAGGAAAATTGTTTTCTGTTTTGGCACTTAATATTGTGATTCTGTCATATGTATATACATATTTATGTTAATTATAATTACTTAATAAAATTGAACTAAGATAAAAATTTTCTTTGTTGACCTAAGTAGGAGTTGACTTAATTTTTTCCTTATATTACTTGTTTATTATATCAAATGAGCTGCAGTTTGACAGCTAAGTTTTTTCAGATTTGTCAAGTCCCCGAGTGTGAGGACCATTTCAGTGGCTAATGGTGGTTTCCGCTACCAATTTTCGACACAAGAATTTATTCAATTCAAGTTCTCATCGGATGCCAAATACTGCCGTGATTTAATTTTCCCGAAAGAATCAGAGCAAAATTGATACTCAAAGAATCTTATGCATGCCACATAATCATATGACATGCTTGTCTGCGATTTTTGCATCCAGAAAATCTACCAACTCTAGCAGGGTTCGAACACACAACTGTGGACATACGAGGTGGAAATGCTATCTCTAAGATACTGAGCAGATACAAAGGTGTTTTTCTAAAAAGGAAAACAAATACCGATAAAAAATAATAGGGAGCTTTGGCTACAAAATTCGTAACTTTGGACCTGGGTCAAGTTACGTGGACTTCATTTAAACTAACATTCCACTATCGAAACTTCACACCACGCAAACGTTAGGACATTGAGTGTGGATTTCTATAAATTTAACTTCTGTCGATCTCGCTGTACGAAGGGTTTTCACACACACACACGCAGTTGCACCAGGGCTCAGATTCACGACTGGCTACAATTCCAAACTCTCGACCACTTGGTCACCTTTCACTCATTAATGAAATAATTATAACTAATTTTATGATAAATATTTCATTCGATTGGTTAAAAATAATATATAAAGTTCTAAATCAAACCAGATGATTTGAATATTAATATATGTATAGAGCTTTATTTTAAAGTGAAATATTCTTACTACATACATATAGGATAGAAATTATTTAGAAAAAATAGAAATTATTTAGCCGATGATGAAAATGTAAGCCATCCTTGTATGAATCCTTTCAATAATACTTTTAGTACAGTTTAGCAGAAAAATAATTGATATAAGTTAATAAAAGATAAAGAGAGTTATATATATATATATATATATATATATATATATATATATATATATATATATATATATATATATATATATATATATATATATATATATAATAGCACATTAAATAAATTATAAATATAAATACACTGAAGAGCCAAAAAAAAACTGGTACACCTGCCTAATATCGAGTAAGGCATCCACAAGCCCGCAGAAGTGCCGCAACACGACGTGGCATGGATTCGATTAAAGGCTGAAGTAATGTTGAAGGTAAATGACACCATGGATCCTGCAGGGCTGTCCATAAATCAGTGAGAGTAAGAAGGGGTGGGGATCTCTTCTGAACAGCACGTTGCAATGCATTCCTGATGTATTCAATAATGTGCATGTCTGGGGATTTTGATGGCCAACGGAAGGGCTAAATTCAGAAGAGTGCTCCTTGAGCCACTCTGTAGCAATTCTGGATGTGTGGGGTTTCGCATTGTCTTACTGAAATTCCCCAAGTCCGTCGGAATGCACAATGGACATGAATGGGTGCAGTTGATCAGACATTATGCTTACATACCTGTCACTTGTCAGAGTCGCATCTAGATGTATCAGGGGTCCCATATCACGCCAACTGCACACGCCCTATACCATCACAGAGCCTCCACAAGCTTAAACAGCCCCTGTTGACATGTAGTGTCCATGAATTCATGAGGTTGTCTCCCTACCCATAAAAGTCCATCAGCTCGATTCAATTAGAAACGAGATTCGTTAGACCAGGCAACGTGTTTCCAGTCATCAACCGTCCAATGTTGGTGTTGACGGGCCCAGGCGAGGCGTAAAGCTTAGTATCGTGCAGTCAACAAGGGTACACGAATGGGCCTTCTGCTCCGAAAGCCCATATTTATGATGTTTCGTTGAATGGTTCACACGTTGATACTTGTTGGAGGCCCAGCATTAAAATCTGCAGCAATTTGTGGAAGGGTTACACATCTGTCACGCTTAATGATTCTCGTCAGTCGTCGTTGGTCCCGTTCTTCCATGTTCTTTTTCCAGTCACAGCGATGTCGTAGATTTGATGTTTTATCGGATTCCCGATAATCACTGTACACTCGTGAAATGACCGTACGTGAAAATCCAAATTTCATCGATCCTCTACACGGTGAGTCTTCAGTGTCACCACTACATGAGTCTTTTACACTCCGGCCACACAAAAGTTCGTGACCATTAGCAGTAGGCTACTGCGGACATCTAACTGCTACGTGACAATAGAGAATATTCACAATTAAGCATCATTCTTCGTTAATTTATTAATATTATGGCCCTTCATAGCAATAATGAACTACATTCTTTCGAAGTCAGTAAAATATACTTAATCAGTTGATGTTTTTTTAATAAATAAAGGCCTTTTGTTGCTGAATGTGTGGAAAGAAAATTTTACCCCGTATACTAATGGAATTTTCGATTTCACAATTTAGGAGTATTAGCTTATTCATCTAATTTCAGACATATATAGAAGGCAAATTCAATTCGTAAAGACTTTACAGAACTTTAAATGCTAATAAACAGCTGCGCACGTAGGATGTATCAATACTTTCATTTACTAGCTTCTATACAGAAAGTATGAAAACGTATTAAGTATATGCAATTTTTTTTTATATTTTATTGCATCGTAATGTAATAAACAATATTTATGCATGATTCCATATATTTCGCAACTGCGCATAAGTCTAATTTAAGGTGAGTTTTTATTAAATGTATTTTTTCCGGACAACATACTGTTTTATGTTAATATGAATTCAAATCCCGTATTCTAAGGAATTCATGCATTTAATAAAGTAAAAGCTTAAATATGAACGAGGAATATTTTCGATAACTTTCCTGGGACAGTAAATGAGAAGCTTAATTTACCCGATAATTTGTAATTAGTATTAAGTTGAAGAAAAGATGCGCATCTGGGAAATGAGAAACGCTAAGTTACCCGCTTAGTTTCGGACTCAGTTAATGATATGTACGCAGGCGTATAAAACTCTGCGCACTCTCAAGTACGAAACAGCGATAACTTTTTGAAAGACAGAGCCCACGCATGATTTCAAGCTACCAAAGGGGGCGCTGAAATCAATAACCCCAGAGAAGTAAAGGAGCCATCCGTAGCACACCTCGACTCATTCGAAAGCGGGAGTCTGAAAAGAACTTCTCTTTTTCTCTTCCTCTCCTGTTTTCCCGGAATCGGGAGTGCTCTCTCACGTTCCCAAACTGAAGCGGACACTTCGAGTTTTGGCCCATTCGAGACCAGAAGTGACTCCGGTCTCAGTTGCTGAACTTTTTCACGATTTCTTCGACTCGGACTGAAAGTTAAAAACTTTTGGAAAAGTTGGTAATGAAAATCCTGTTTCGGAACTTTTCCGTAGTTTAGTTTCGCAGTTAGCTAAAACTCGAGAAAAACATCCCAGAAATGTTTATCGGACAATGTGAGGGTCAGGAACTGGGACAAGCATAACTTAGAAGTAGTTTTGCTTTTCTTCTCGGTTAGTCCAGAGTAAAGTTTCCGATTTTAGGACATTTTTCCACCGGACTGAATTGAACTTTATAAACATTTTATATCGTGCGTTCGCTCTCTGATTGAACAATGGCCGCAATTGGTTTGATCAACGTTATCTTGATTGTGGTAGCTCACTCTCTCGGTAAGTGATTTACATTTTTATCTCTAGTTTTAAAATAGTTTAAAAGTTTTTAATTAGTATTAATCAGTTCTAAAATATTTTTTGCTCATTAATATTTATTACTGTGTACATAAATATGCATTATACTGTATTTAATTAACTGATGCGCGTAAGCATATATAATTAAAAATGAATTATTTTACGGGATTTTATAGATAATATGTTAGCTGTAAAATCTTCAAATAATAAAATAACTTATAATATATTCATGTATCAGAAAAAAAATCATTTCAATATTTTTTAATCCTATAACTGCAAATTTTGTGAGTTTTGAATTATTTTAAAATTTTTTGAGGGTTTAAATTTTTTTGATAGTTCAAAGCAATGGATTAATTTTTAAAATATAAATATATATTGTAAAATTATCCTGTTTAGTTTTTGAAATGAATATAGTAATATAGCACAAATATATTATCCTAGATAATGTTAGCTAAAATTAAACTGTCTTAAATTAAAAGATGCGTTATATAAAACTGAATAATATTTGAAGTGCAAATTACTATTTTAGTTCAAGAATTTCATGCCTATTAACTATAGTTTTATTTTCTGAATCATGTGGATAATTCAAAAGTAATATTATAATTATACATTTACACAATTTTATGAGATTTTCAAATACTTACGCACTTTTATAAGTGTGATTTATTATTTTTTTAAATTTGTTTTATTTTAAAGATGTACAAATTTTCAAGCATGTATTTTATGAGAAAATAATACTAAAATAGTATTTATATGTTTAAATTTCCATTGAGTATTATTTAAAAATTTCATCAATATGCTGCAATTTGCGAAAAAAAATTAGGAAACAATTTGAACAATATTAATAGTAAATTATACTTTGTAAATTATGAAATATCCAATCACATTTTCATTCATTATAATTTTTAAAGTCTCCCCAGGTACTAGTTGAGCTATTAATATTTGAAAAAGTACCGAACCCAGATAGAAAAATTAATTACTTATTATTCATATCAACATCAAATGCGAATACTAAATTTTTTATCAAATTATAAATATTATTTCAGAGAGAACTTCATATTTCTTAGTAAAATTAAACATTTTTTGAAATCGTGA